CTGTGATGCGTATGCCTAGTGTACAGCCCCTTCCTGTGATGCATGTGGTTACCTGTAATCAGGGGGGCTTGCACACCCCTAAGTATATATAGGCCTTGATCAGAAATTAGGGATCTCTCCTCCCTCTCTACGCTGACCTGGCTGCTAAGATCACCCTCCCTCCTCCTCCAGTCTCCTCTTGAACCTCTCCCTTGCCTTCTCCCCACTTGGGCTCCTACTCTCGTAAATAGCCAGAGTCTCCCCACCCCCAACCTGAGTTTCCTTGAGTTTGAGTCCCCCGCACCTAATCCTTCCTTGCAAGAAGCTAGCCCTCCCTGAGAACCCCCAAATCTTAACCTCCTTGATTGAGTAAAAGCTTTCCACCATGCCTGGAACCCACGAGGGAAATTTACACGCTCTCAGATATACTTCCTCCTTTTCTGCCCTAACTGGGACCCCGATTCCTCTTGCAGGGGGAAGGGGGGAGGCAGGCTCTGGACATTTCTCTCGCCGGTCTCTCCTCGTAGGCATAAAGGCTGCCTCTAAAAAGCCCACCAATTTATCCAAAATAATGGAGGCAATTCAAAAGCCGGAAGTCTTCCAGTGCCTTCCATGAACCCATCTAATAGGGTTACGGTCTGATCACGCTTTTCCATCCCTGAAAATGCCCGAGCAGTCAACCTCCCTCTAGTCCTGCAATCCGAGCCTGACATCCAAACAAGGACACACACTAGAAGGCTTTGCTAGCACGCACACCGGCCAGCTGGTAGAAACCACACACAACGTTTCTAATAACCGCAACCTCGGGAAACAGAGACAGCTTGCCCTGTCAGCTGATAACGCTGCCTAGAGCCAAGCCGAAACAAAACAACTTGTTACTACTATGCAAAATGCCAGCCGATGCAGTCTGCATTGACATCTGGCAGCCTAAAGGCCTCCCGACAACCCACAGGCACCCACAGCCAAGCCCCCCTGGCACTAAGGCTAAGAGGCTCTTGTTCAATGCGGACAGGTCTGAGACCAATGGACGTACTGCAAGCAAGCTGGCCGCCTGGAAAAATAAATGTCCATTCCATAAGCTTGCTTCTCAGCCTGTCTCTGTCCTCCCTCTACCTACTCCAGACTCAGACTCTAAATAAGGAGGCCTGGGCTCTACCTTACTAGGCCCCTCCTAGTAAACACTGGAGCCGAACTTTCTGTTCTTAAACAGCTGCCTGGACCTCTCTCTAGCAACACTGTGCCGAGTCAAGAAGCCACTGGCCAAGGTAAACCCTACTCTTCCTCTACTGAAAAGACTGCACACCTTGGATGTAAAACTGTGTCTCAGGCGTTCCCTTAAGACAGTTCTTATTCTCTGCTGGGCCGAGACCTAGTGCAAACACTCCGTGCAGCCCTCTCCTTCTCTGACCCATCTAATGTTAACCTCCTGCCTGACAGGCCTGCCCTTCTGAAGACTGTTCACCTGATACTCCTGAGCCAGACCCATCTCCTGGTTCCTCACCTCTCTACGCCAGTTTCCATCTGTCTGGGCAGAAACAACCCCGCCAGGGCTTTGTGAACACCACCCTCCCGTAGGAGTGAGCTACTCTTTTAGTACTGCTGACCCTGCCTGCATGGAACAATATCCTGGCCGCCTCAGTGCTAGACAGAATCGAAAACATATCAGCTGGCCTCCTGCTGCCTTGCAAATCTCCATAAATCATTCCTTTCCTCCCTGTCCAGAAACCTGGGACTGAAGATGACGGCCCGGTTCACGGCTTAAAAGACGTCAACAAAAGGGGGAAGACCCTCCACCCCACAGTGCCTAACCCATGCACCCCGTTAAGCTTCCTGCCTCCCGGCCTGTTTTCTTCACAGGACCCTAAGGCACCTCCTGCATGATGGAAAATCTGCTAGACATGCCTCTGTCCTGGCAACCAGACCCGACTGAGCAGCCTCTGCTGGTCAGGTGGTAAATGCCACCCTCTTCCCCCATGCCTGCAGCTCTGGACAGGAGGAACAAGGGAGAAATGGAGCCGAGTAGCCAGGTAACCACTGTGGGTGCCAGCCTTTGGGCCCAAGGCCTACCACAAGGCACCTCAGCTCCCAAAGCTGAGCGAATAGCTCTTACACAAGCCTTCAGGTTGAGGTGGGGGCAGGGCATGGGCGGGGGAGTTTATCCTTGTTTACTTAGACAGTAAATATGCTTTTTTCCTTCCCTCGGTTCACACAGATGCAACAATTTACAAGGAAAGAAGGCTTCTTCACATGGAAAACAAATTACAACCAAAGAAATTTTAGCACTCTGGAGGGAAGGTGGGGTGGAAAGGGGGAACCGATTACGGGAATCTACATATAACCTCCTCCCTGGGGGACGGACGACAGAAATGTAGGTGAAGGGAGACGTCGGACAGTGTAAGATATGACAAAATAATTTTTTATAAATTATCAAGGGTTCAGGAGGAAGGGGGAAGCGGGGAGGGAGGGGGGAAAATGAGGAGCTGATGCCAGGGGCTTACGTGGAGAGCAGATGTTTTGAGAATGATGAGGGCAACAAATGTAAAATGTGCTTTACACAATCAATGTACGTATGGATTGTGATAAGAGTTGTATGTGCCCCTAATAAAATGATTAAAAAACTTTTTTTGCCCTCTTAGAGGCAGTTTGGCTTCCTGCAAAGGTAGGTGCTGTGCACTGCCGAAGCCACCAAAGTGGCTTGCTAACAGTCTAGCCCACTCTGCCACTCTCAGGCCGATCGAACTGCCAGATGGAGTCCCTGTGCCCTTCCTGGAGGTCTGCAGACATAGGCGTATGGAAAGGGTACCAAACATGACAAATCCCCCCTCTCCCCTGATCCCCAGGAAGCGGCAACCGCTCTACCCTTAACATCAGCCACCCTGCTTCATGATTTCCTGGCCCAACCTGGGGCCTTGCTTTCTGGGGGTCAGGATGGGACCCTGAGGTGTTGTTGACGATCCAGGGACTGTCCATAAGGTCCAGCCCACCCCTAGGCTAATGGGCCCAATTGCTGAACTACAAAGCCTCCTGTCAGATCCCCATTGGTCCCCTTCCAGCACTGAACCTTATGTCCCTGCTAAACTCTGAGCCCCGCAGTCCCCAAAGGTTCACCATAGTCTGAGTATTTTCAGCTTTCTCATACTAACATCTCTACTCCCATTATTGTTCCTGATGGGTTTATCTGTCCTGGATTCCTTGTGTTGAGAGCTCTTATCTGCACCAGTGTACAGATTTGTAAAGTAGAACTAGGGTCGTGATAGTGGGTCAGCATTCAAGAACTAGAGTAGTGGTTGTCAACCTTCCTAATGCCATGATCTTTTAATTCAGTTCCTTATGTTGATGGTGAACCCAAACCATAAAATTATTATTATTTTTTTTAACATTTTATTAGGGGCTCATACAACTGTTATCCCAATCCATACACACATCAATTGTGTAAAGCGCATTTGTACATCGTTTCTCAAAACATTTTCTCTCCACTTAAACCCCCGACATTAGGTCCTCATTTTTCCCCTCCCTCCCCCTCCCCCCTCAGCCCTTGATAGTTTATAAATGGGTATTTTGTCATATCTTGCCCTGTCCGACGTCTCCCTTCACCCACTTTTCAGTTGTCTGTCCCCAGGGAGGAGGTCACACACAGTTCCATGTAATCGGTTATGCTACTTCATAACTGTAATTTTGCTACTGTTATGAATCATAATGCAAATATCTGATATGTAGGATGTATTTTCATTGTTACAAATTGAACATAATTAAACAGTTAAAGCATAGTGATTAATCACAAAACAATATGTAATTATATTGTGAAATATGTTTTCTGATGGTCTTAGGCAACCCCTGTGAAAGGGTCATTCGACCCTCAAAGGGGTCGCGATCCACAGGTTGAGAACCACTGAGCTAGAGGAATGTTGGTGGTTTGTTGGTGCCTACTGCGCCCTGGCTGGCTTGTCCCTTCCTTGTGACCCTTCTGTGAGAGGATGTCCAATTGTCTACAGATAGGCTTTGGGTCTCCACTCTGATCTCCCTCATTTGCATCAATATGATTGCTTGTTTAGGGTCTTCTGATGCCTGATAGCTGATCCTATTAACACCTTGTGATCACACAGGCTGGTGTGCTTCTATGTGGGCTTTGTTGCTTCCTGCTAGATCGCTGCTTGTTTAACTTCAAGCCTTTAAGACCCCCAGGCGCTATCACCCGTTTTGCTTATGCACCCATTTTGCCTTTAGCGATCTTGTTGGGAAGGTGAGCATCACAGAATGATAGGTTAATAGAACAAAGTGTTGAGGGCGGAGAGGCCCAATGTCCTTCTGCTATCTTGATACTTAACATATAAATATATGTACATAGCCCTATATCCCTATCATTATCTAGTAATATATTTGCATATAAACATGCCTATGCCTATACATATACCTCTATAAATGTTGTTTGCCTCCTAGGTCTTTCCTCTATTTCCTTTTACTTTCCTCTTGCCCCACTATCATGTTTGACCTTCATTTGGCTCTCAGTAATTCCTCACAGCGACATTGCACTTGATCAACCCCACCAGCAAGCCATGATATTTTCAATGGCCTCATATGCATGTCAAGCGGATATTGAACAAGGAGGACTGAAGACCAGAAATGGCCGTTAAAGAAGGCACAGGAGCTCGCCAAGAAGGAAATAGGGTTAGAATTAGGTACACAATAGCACGGGGAGTAGTGGGTCGCCCAGCCAACAGCACCCCTTCCAACAACTACGGTCTTTCAAGCACATCTGGAAAGATTCAGTAGGAAAGACAGCTGATAGGGAGGCCTGTTCAGAGTGATGCCTGCGGCGCGTGCGCACTGCGTTCCTCGGCGCTCCAACCGCTGGGAGGTGATGACTGGGCATCCGGGAAGGCGCGCGGTCCCAGGCAACGCCGTCGAGGGCCGAGTCGTCGATCGGAAGTCCCTTTGCGGCTGCGCTCGGTCCTGGCCGCCCGCTCTCGGGGTCGGCTCTAGGGGGCGCCCTTACAGGAAGTTCCGAGTCGGCCCGGGTGAGCGGCGCCGTTTCCCCGTTACACCTCAGCACTCTCTCGGCGCCGGTGGTCACCGCTCCCCGGTCGCCGCCAGTAGCAGAAGGTACTCGGAACCCGCTGTCGCCACTGTCGCTGCCGGGTCCCCTGGGCCCCCCAGCCGCCGCCATGAAGCTGCGCGTCCGACTTCAGAAGCGGACCTGGCCGCTGGAGTTGCACCAAGAGGCGGCGACGCTGGGGCAGCTGCGCGCACACCTGGGCCAGGTCTCGTTGCCCACCTGGGGGTACAGGTACGCGGGGCGGCCCGGGACGAGGCCCAGCGCGGGGCTTGGGGGGGCATCCGGTGGCGAAGTGAGGGAGGAACGCGGGTCCGTGCGGGCGAGCCTGTGCCCCCCGGGAAGGTGGGTGCCCACTTGTGGCGCCGCGAGGCTGGGGGTCGCGGGTGAGCCGGTGTCTCCGAGCGCTCGCTTGGGTGCGGGGACGCCCGGCGGGGTCACGTGAGCCTTTGGCGTCGCGGGGGCGTCGCCAGCCGAAGCGCCCTTGCGACTGTGACTGTGCGCGGGCGCGGGGCCAGGGCCTGCGGTTGGCGCGTCGGCTTGGGCGCCGGTCCCGGCTGCAGGGAGCCCATGACCCAGCCTCCCGGGGGCTCCGACCCCCTCCTGGGTGAGTGACGGGCCTCGATTTCCTAAGAACCGACCGTCCGCAGGATGTTTTCAATCAAACGTTGGAAACGATGGGCTCGGTTTGGGATAAACCTTTCGAGACCCCGGGGGTTTGAGTTCACGCCCTGCACCTGTTGCAGCGTCTCAGCGCAGATGTTTAAGTACCAGAGCTTAAATACCCGTAGCTTTCGCTGCCCGCCTGGTGGCTTACGCCTTGGGCTGACCACCGCTAGGCCAGCAGTTCGCATCCACCAGACCTTATGTGGAAGAAAGAAGAGGCTTTCTGCCTCCGTAAAGGTTTACAGCCTGGGAAACCCAAGGGGCAGTGCTGCTCTGGTGTCCAGGGTCACTAGGAGTCAGTCGGCGGGTTTGGGGAAGACTGTGAGGATCAGTGTTGCAGGCGCCGGGGTGAGTCCGTTATCTCCCCTGCCAAGTTTCAGACAGTACCGCCGCGGCGCTGGAGGCGTTTGATGTTCTTTTATTTGGGCGAGACGTGGCTTCTTCGTTCAAACTCTGGGCCTGGTAGGTTTAGGACAGTGAAGTGGAGAGGCCCGGGATCCATTTCTGTTAATAATTTATGGGGCTGCTGGAGAGGCGGTTTCGTTTTCTTAGAAGGCCTCCTCAGGGGACAGGGATCGGAGTGGAGGACAAAATAAGGGTGTTTCTGCCTTTTCAGGCAGGGAGCTTGTGAACTTGGAATTGGAGCTAGGACAACATAAAGACATGCCCTGGGGGGCTTTATTTTGGTGTTGGAGGAGTCTTTGAAAGAAAACCTTGTGCATTTAGTGGTTCCTTTTACAAGACTCTCCTGAGCTTCCGGTTTACTTTTAGAGTTGAATAAAGTGAGTCTATAGTATAATTATGCCTTTCCCAAATTAAGACAGTGTTAGATCCAAAGTAAGCCTGTTTCCCTCCCAATTGGAGTGTGGACACACTTCCTTTTAAATATATTAAGCGACAAGCCTGATCCTAGGTAGCATGCACTAAGTCAGTGGTTCTCCACCTGCGGGTCACGACTATCCTTTCCCAGGGGCCACCCAATTCATAACAATAGCAACATGACAGTGATGAAGTAGCAACGAAAATAATTTTCTGGTGGGGGGGGTCACCACAACATGAAGAACTGTATTAAAGGGCATGAGGAAGGTTGAGAACCACTGCATTAAGTGTTTCCTTGTTGCCATCACCTTGCATTTATGTACATATGTATAAATTACTTTTTAACTAGGCAGGGTAATCTGAAGGAGAGGGCACAGAGGAATTCGAAATCTAAAATGACACTAGTTTGCCAAGAGCTGAAGTGAGTTTCTCTTTCAGGTTTGCTGTGACATTCCAGGCTGCCCTGTGTGAAAAAGTCAATTCATTCTCATTGTGTAGTCCGCGGCAGTTTTAAACTGTGCATAGGCGGCTGCTGTTTTAAGTGTCTTCTTCTGAGCAAGTGGATTTGGGCTTGCCCTAAACTATTTGGGAAAAGCCTGTCGTTTTCCTAGAATCTCATTTTCTGGTGAAGTGAAGATGTGAGTTCAGAAAACGGTTTACAGCCGCCCCTTGAAAACAATGTGCTGTTTTATAAATAGCTCTTTCCTTTGTCTAAAGACTGAAGGGAGGCCAGCAGTTTTTATTAAGCAGATACTATTTTCTTTCCCCTTTCTCCCAATGAATACTTGCGCATTCATTCACATTGTACGTGGATGCTGTGGGAGAGTAACCCTTCGAAGTGACAACTGAAGCCGAAATGCACCAAGTTCACACAGAAACGGGGCCTCTTCTGCCAAAGTTGGCCTGGTGTATTCATGGGCAGTTGGCAGCTTTTCAATGTTTTATCAGAACATTTTGAAAACAGCAGCAGAACCACTTGCTTCTCAGAAGCAGAGGTAGTTTTTATTCCAGTAATTTCTCTACCAGTTGCTTTTTTTTTAGATGAGTAAGGGAAAATGGACCAACACGGATGAAAGAAAAACAATAAATGAATTGTTCACTTTTTCAAATACAGTGTTGTAAGCCAGAAAATACCTTTGTTAATGTTTCAAAAACTTGATGAACTCAGCTTTCTGATTGTAAATGATCCCATAAAATCTTTCCCACTGGTTTAATAAGTTATTTCTGACCATTGTGCCATGGCTGTCCTAAAGTCAGATCATGTGTGTTGCAGAAAGAATGGGAGTTCATTGATAGCTTATCGACTTATTTGAGCTCTTAGTTCAGGTGTCCTCAAACTACGGCCCGTGGGCCACATGCGGACATTTATCTGGCCCGCTAGGTGTTTTTGCCCTGTTTTGTTTTTTACTTCAAAATAAGTTATGTGCAGTGTGCATAGGAATTTGTTCACAGTTTTTTTTTTAAAAATTATAGTCCGGCCCTCCAACGGGTCTGAGGGACAGTGAACTGGCCCCCTGTTTAAAAAGTTTGAGGACCCCTGTCTTAGTTTGTTCAGCAGGGAGTTGTTAGATTTTGTTCCATATTGAGATATCAAAAGGCACTGTCAGTAAGAAGGGTGTATTTGTCATCCACAGGCTTTCAAAAAATTGACAGCTATCGAGTTGATGCCGACTCATAGTGACACTATCGGACAGGGTAGAACTGCCCCTGTGGGTTCCCGAGACTGTAGCTCTTTACAGGAACAGAAAGCCTCATCTTTCTCTCTTGAAGTGGCTGGTGGATTAGAATTGCTGACCTTGTGGTTAATAGTTCAATACTTAACCCCCTTGTCACCAGGGCTCTCCTCCATGTAACACTTAAAAGAGAAAAATGCTGCTGGTTAAACTGCCATGTTGGGAATTTGAAGCAAGAGCACAATTCCCAAGATGTTAATAAAATGTATAAAAAAAATAAAATGTGCTTATGATTTAGACACAGACAAGTAATAAGAAATTACAATGTATCAATTCCTCAAGCTAGTCATTAGAAGTCTGTACCCTAGGTACTTGATAAGAACAGCTAGTTTTGATACTTTTCTCCAAACCTTGGCCTGTTCTGGGGGGGCAGGTGGTGGTGGTGTTGGCTTTATTGCTTGGTTCTTCTTGGGCCATTCAATATACCAAATGTACGCTGGAGAGTAATGGTCACAGGTAGCCCTTACCGTCCTTATCCGTCTTTCTTGGCAGTTCTGATACCCGGTTTGCAATTACGTTGAACAACAAGGATGTCCTCACTGGAGATGAAGAGACCTTGGCTTCCTTTGGGATTGTTTCTGGGGACTTGCTATGTTTGGTTCTTGAAGATGCCATTCCAGCACCTAACTTGCCTTCATCCACAGATTCAGAGCATTCCTCACTCCAGAATAACGACCAAGCCCCTTTGGCCGCCAGCTCCACCCCACCCAGCGTACCTGATGAACAACTGAGTGATTCGTCCCAAGGACTGGCAGCCCAGTCTGGTGTCGGCAATGGCGACAGTGTGGTGAGTGCTAATGACCAAGCCACGAACTCCACTGGTTAATAAATCAAGCTGAATGCGTCAGTTGAATTCTATACCAGTCAGGGTAATGATGTGTAGGTTCCATATTACATCCCACATAGTACTCCAGTATATCTGGGTTTTAACCCCCTTTTTTGATTGTTTTGTTCTGACACACCTTGAAGATAATTAGCCCTCTGCTAACGTCACTCATTGCCTCTTAAGCTCATGATTCCCACTTTGGTCTCGTGTACTTAGTAAAGCAAGGTGAAGCAAACCTGCTGCTGTGGCATGGACCCCGACTCCTGGCCACTCCCTGTGTCTCGACCACTGTAGTCTTTCCAGAAGCAATAGCCAGGCTTTGCTCTGCAGCACCACTTTGTGGGTTCGTAGCTGAGGGCTTGACTGAGCCACCCAGGGACCTTACTAAGGGAATAGCAAACCCCAACCCACTGCCCTCAGGTTGAATTCAAGTCATAGTGACCTTCCAGGACAGAGTAGGACTGCTCTGGAGGGGTTCTGAAGCTGGCTTCCCCCTTTCTCTCTCTGGGAGCTGGTAGACTTGAACCATCGACCTCTTGTGTAGCAGCTGAGCACTCTGACCACTGCATACCAGGACTCAATGCCTCCCAGTTGTTGGAGAGATGGAATTAAAAGGGGTTAGGTTTTTGTTTCTGGTGAACTTTTTGAAGCCCCTTGAGACAATCCGTGGTTTTCTACGTGGACTTCAGGGCATTGACACCTGGAGAGAGACACTTTCCGCCGCTGTCTGTCCAACACAGATTGGGAAATAGTGTGCCGCGTTGTGACCCACTGCCTCGCTCTACTGTGTCCTGAGCTCATGGCCTTGGGTGATTTTCCACTTTCCTTTCACCCAGCCCTTAGACAGCCTGCAGTGTCTGTGCCCCAGTCACTTTGCATGGTGCTCCCTGTGCTTTAGTAACTGTCTCATGGGTATGCTCATGATTTTTGAGGTGCAGAAGCCATAATAGCCCCAGTCCCCCCCTACCACCCCCTCCCCCCCTCCACATTTTACAGAGGAGGGAAAGCCACCTCCTGATTTTCAAGGCTTTCTGAAAACTTTGCCTGCTCATCTTTCTCAGATTAGCTTCTGCTTTTCCATCCTGTAAACAATCGTCTCCCGTTAGAGCAGACTCCCTGCCAGTTTTCCTGTGCCACCCAGCCAGCCATGTGTGCCCACGTGCATGCCCGTACATGCCTATTGTTCCATGCCGTTGAGTGAGTTCCGCCCACTTGCAGTCTGGTATGGCCCCAGCCTCACAGTTGTTCCCTTGGAGCCCATTGTGGCAGCCACTCTGTCAGTCCCTCTCTCCGAGGGTCTCGTGTTGAGCTGAGGCTCTGCTTTACCAAACGTGATGTCCTTTTCCAGGGACCAGTCTCTCCTGATAACATGCCCAAAGTGGGCGAGGTGAAGCCTCGCCTGTTGCTTCTAAGGGGCAGGCTGACTGTACGCCTTCCTAGGCAGATGTGTTCGTTGGCAGCCCACCGTACTTTCAGTATTCTTCTCCAGCCCTTTGTTCAATGCAGCGATTCCATTCTTCTGCTGTCTTATTCATTAGTGCCTGTTTTCATACGTCTGCTCCGTCACCTATTTCTAGCAGTGCAAAAATCCTTGCCAACTTTAAACCTAACCCATTGCCATTTTTTAAAGAAATGGGGATGAATCTAAAATTCCATTTTAGAATCTTTTATTGATAGATGCGCTCATGGATCCCTTCTGGGGCACACCTGGGCACAGTTCACCTGGCCCAATAAACGATGGACCTTTCCATACCGCATGTGATCGTTTCTTTGCTAGTGTACTTTTGAAGACTTGAACACTAGGTAATAGTGTCTCAAGTAATTTTATTTCTTAGATGAATTTCATTTAAGTACTGTTATTTTTTAAAAGCATGGTTATATCCTAAGACTTAGTAGGGGGTTTCAAAAGGCTTGTGGAAAATGGCAGTAAAGACAGTGGAATTTTTTCATGAAGGCTTGAAGGCCCCTTGTGTGCACCTGACCCAAACCAAACCCACTCCCATCAAGTTGATGCTGAATTACATCAATCCTATAACTCACTGCCGTCAGTCGACACCAACTCTTAACGACCCTCCCTATAAGGATGGTAGAAAGCCCCTTCTTTCTCCCAAAGGCTGATGGTGTTATCAAACTGCAGACCTTGTGATTTGCGGCCTAATGCGTAACCACTGTGCCACTAGTGCTCCTATAGGGTGCTGTAAAATCTTAGTGAAACTTATTAGATGATGCTGTGTATTCTTGAAACAGTAGAATCGGCTAAGTAAGCGGAATGGAATGTGTTGTCCTTGTTTGATCACATTGAATTGTCCCCACCTCATGGTGACTGTTGCGCGGCAGAGGGAAACATTGCCATGTGCCGCACCAGCCTCAGGTGCCTTGTCTGAGCCCGTCACTGCAGTCTGGGTCAGTCCATCTTGTGGAGGCTCGTCCTCTTTTTCACTGACCCTCCACTTGACCAGGCATCCTGTCCTTTCCCAGAGCACTCATCACAGTTCAGGATAGAAAACGCAGTACAGCCAGAAGACTCGGCCTAATGTGTCCGCTATTGTCCTTGTCCTTTTCAGCCAGGTCCTAGTCAAAATGTCGAAGAGGAGCCAGTTGAAGATGCTGTGGGTATGGGAGTGGGCACCGGTTTCTGCCCCTCAGAGCCAATGCTCTGCAGCGAGGCGGTGGAAGGGCGAGTGCCTCATTCACTGGACACCCTGTATTATGCTGCTGACTGCTCTAATGCCAACGATGCCTTGATCGTGTTGATCCATCTGCTTATGTTGGAGTCGGGCTACATTCCGCAGGTAAGCACCGCGAGCAGAGTGCTGGCGTGCCTTTCCCAGTGTGAAAGGGACATGCCGATAAGTACAAGGGTGAGTCAAAAAGCATTGCAACCAGGCTTCTAGTTCATGTGTGCACAGGTTTCTCCCGAACATGTGTCTTTAAACATGCCTCTGCATTCAGTGGGTAGTATAGACTTTCAGTAACACACTTGTCTTGGTCTCATTTTAGTGCCTTCCCAAAACCCCAGGAGCGTTGAGTCACACCCTCTCTGCGTTTTTCCCGAAGCTGTAAATCTTTCTAGGAGCAGACAGCCCCGTCTTTCCCCTGTGGAGGAGCTGGTGTGTTTGAACCCTGGACTCTGGCTCAGCAGTCTACTGCTTACCCTGCAGTGCCACCCAGACTCCTTTTCACAAAGAGAAGTCTAATCCAAACAGTGGCTCCCTAGGGGATCTGCCCAGGGGACCAGGAACGTTAAGGCAGAGAGGTCAGGTCAGAGGTTATGGGGGAGGTCTCGGGGGGGCTGTTATTTGGGACCCCTCAGGGGACTCGTGATAGATTTTCTCAGAGGATACAGGATGATCATGAGGACTTACTCTACAGGTATTTTTAGAAAATCAAAAACTGCATTGGTGAGAAAAAGGCCAGGAAAGTTGTGCTTAGGAATTTCCCATCATGACAGTGCACCTGCTCAGTCTTGGAAGCTGGCCAGGCCTGGCCTGTGAGAGTTTTCTCTGGAACCCCAACTCCCTCTCCTGCAGTCCTCATCTTGCCCCTTCAGCTTTCTGTGTTTCCTGAAACGCAAAGAACGTTGCAGAGGAACACGTGTTTTGTTGTTAATGAATTGTGCTTGGGCAGGGAATGAAGAACAGGTAGCACAGTGACAGGCATACGCTCCACTCGTCAGTGCCTCCATCCATTTTTTCCTCCTTTCTTTCACCAGTCGTTAGTAGTGTTGTGGTGTTGATAGTTGTGGGAAGGAAGACAAAAAATATGTATGAGAACCTGTAGGTACAGTGTGGTTACTGGGTCTAGATTGGGCATTAAATTAGACAGCTGCCTCTTTTATGGGATGAAATTCCAGTACCTCAGTAAGACTCGGGAAGGGGGACTTTGTTCTTACACTGTCCTTATCTTCCTTCATTCCTCTGGGGGTCTTATAAAAAAATGCAGATTGATTTCCCAAGTCAGGGATTGGGCCTGAGGCTGTTTGAGCTCCCCCAGGAAACATGCTGCTGGTCTGTGGGCCAGGCTGTTCTTAGCAGAGGTGTGGAGTTAGCTCACTGGCTCCTGCAACATGCATGTGCGGGACTGTCCTCATCCACAAAGGAGCCCTTAAGTGGGAGGAGGAAGACAGATCAAGGGCTCTTTGTATTAGGACGAGTGACATACTAGAAGTTTGTGATCATGAGCGCATGAGCAGGACGTATGAGAATGAACGAGAAGCTAGAGTGTTACTGTTCTGTTTTGAGGGCTTCACAAAGGAAGCACTGGGGCCCTGCTTAATGAACGTGACTGTCCTTGATTTGGGACCTTGCTTTAATGAGGGTGACTTTCATAGATTTGGGGCCTTGAATGCCACTTTGCTAGGCAGAGAACTGTCTTTAAAGAGAGGCATTCCTCCCTAATTTATTGATATTATCCATGTGAAAATCCTTGTGGAGGTTGACAGAGCTGGTCATCAGTTTCATGGTCAACAGTTTGGACACACTCTGTGTCATCTCATTGATTGCCGTCCCTTGGATGTAACACCGTGGATGCCACTTCCTCCCCGTGTTTCTTGTTTCCCATCCCCCTTTCCTAGCCCTTCGGAACCTTGTCCTTGGGTCAGCACTGCCCTTTTGCTCCCAAGTGGCTGATTATTCCCAGGTGTTCACACCTCTCTAGTACTGTTGTGCTCTTCATAGACCTGCTGTTCATTGGCTGGAAATCGAGCCTCAAGGGTGATTAAGGGCCATACTCTCCGAGGCTCCCCTAGTCTCTGTCTCAACAACGTTTTGATAGAAGAATGCCAGACTCCTCCCCTCCGCTAGTAATCCTGTTGGGGACTGGCTCTGTGGAACCCTGGTGCAGCACTCAGCTGCTCAACAGTCAGTCAGCGGTTTGAATCCATGGGCTGTTGCTCAGAAGAAAGATGAGGCAGTCCTTGAAAACTCTGAGGAACAGTTCCTAGCCTGTCCGACAGGGTCACCACGAGTCAGAACCGACTCACTGGCCACGGGTATTTTAGTGTCCAGTGTTATTTCTAGACCACTTGGGGGCCTGCTCCATTTTTAGTCTCCTTGAAAGTAAGGCTTTCCTTCATTGCTTGTCTTCCCTTTCTTTTCGTTGGCCAGGGGACGGAGACCAAGGCCACATCCATGCCGGAGGACTGGAAGGCCGGGGGCGTGTACAAGCTGCAGTACACGCACCCCCTCTGCAACGGCGGCCTGGCTGCTCTCACCTGTGTGCCTTTGGGAAACCTCATCGTCATAAATGGTGATTGCCCGGCAGTCCTGCCCTTTGTCCTTTCTCTCCACATGTTTTCTAGGCCCCTCAGCCGGTGGCTGTCAGGATCCATGGCCACTGAGAACCCAGCGTCTGAGAGATGATAGGCCACAGGCCCACCCCCTGTGGGGACCAACAGCCTACCTCCTGGATGGCTGACCTTGTAAAATGCTACTTATTGTTTGCTCCCATTTCTCTCTTTTTTCTTTTGTAGTGGAAGTTGTTAAGGACACAAGCAGGGGAAGCTTTCACTGGGCACCAAGTTGTGAGACTAGCAGTGGGATGGGTCTGTTGCTTATGAACTCTGGAAGAGACTTCTTCCTCTACCTTCTGGGTGTTCTTATTCTTATGTTTAAACCAGAGAAATGATGAGAATGGGGGTCACAGGGGTCCTTTTCATCCAGTTGCATCACTGAGCAGTTGGGCGCGACAACCCCAAGGGTTCAGAGGCCTCGGTATGTGTGTGTTTGGTCACCATCCCCGTCCTTGCTTAAGTCACTTGGAATAAAGAGTTCCTTTCTCTCTCTGTGTGTGTGTGTATTAAAACATTTTCCTTGAGAGACCGTGCAGTCCCTCTCTGTATTTTCTTCGAGCTCAGAGGCCGTCCCAGTGGCCTGTGGGAAAGCCTGGTGGTCTGTCGGACACCGTCAGAGGGCCTGGGCATGCTCCTGGTGTTGGGTGTTTGTCTTGGCGCTTCATCCTCTTCACTGGGCAAGGTGGCGTGGCAAGCCTGGCACAGCTCATTTTGTTTTGAAGCAAAGGCCCCCTCTCTTGGCTGTGTCTTAGGCCACTGGCCTGCAGCACAGCTCTCTCGGTGCCTGGAGTCTGCTGAGATGGAAGCAAGGGGCTGCTGACTTGACCCCGAGCCCCCACTGCAGCCTCGGCCAGCAGCACGGGCTTTTCGTTACTGACCTCCCATGTTCGGTTTGTTTGAAGAAATGTTTGTTTTTTTATATGCTGAAATTTATTTTGAAAGCTACCTACTTGAATGCCCCTCCCTTACCCTTAATCTTTGAAAGGAATGAAGTGGAGTTTTTCAGTGACAGTCCCTATGGTTTCCTCTCAATCAGTGGGTTCTTGGATTCTCGTTAGGAAGGTCAGCCCAGCCAGCTTTGGTGGGCCTGCTTGTCAGCACATGACTGTCACACCAGCTCCTCAGCCAGTTTGTCACAAATCTCGACTGTCGCTTTCAGGTGGGCATTCCTGGGCCGAGTGCCAGCCGTCATCGGACCGTACTGCTGTAGCTTGTCGTCACTGTACGCCGGAAATGAGCAAATAGTGGGTGTGAGGTGGGAATTTCTACAGAAGTACTGTAACAACATTTGATTCATAACCTTTGCTCCTTACTTTCAGGATTGATAATGTAAAGAGAGTGACTACTAAATATCTTGATGGTTTCTTTTGTTTTTCATTTCAAGCTTGCACTTTTTTTGGTGTGGTAGGTGAAATTTTACAGAGCAAAGTCATTCCGCGTTCAAGAGTTCATGGCTATAATGTGTTCCACAACACTGGTTGCATTTCCCACACCGAGTCAGCACCGGGTTTCTGCCCTGGGCTCTTTGTTTCTGTCTGAATTTTCTACCCCTTCCTTCCTTCTCATCTTTGCTTTTGGACACATGTCCTTTTGATCCTGTGTAATGGATTACTCTAAGGAACTTGTTCCTCTGGGGGGGAAAGGGGTGTGTCCCTGTTACAGTTCACTTTATGGGTCCGCCTTTTGCTTGCCTGAAGGGGGTTCTCCTGGGATGACTCCGGCTCCAGGTCTGAGGGGTGTTTCCGGGTCATCGTCTCGGTTCCATCTCGCCTCTGTCAGGCCCGCGAGGCTGGTCTTTTCCGTGAATTTGATTTCTGTTTGACATTTTCTTCTTCTCTGTCTGGACCCTCTCTGTTTTGATTCAGTCAGAACGATCGGCCTTGGTAGCTGGACAGCATCGAGCTTTCTCCGATTGTGGTTCATGTGGCCTCTTAGACCCTTGGACTGAATGTCTCCTCCAGTCTTTGAGTTTTCTCCACTCTCCTCTACTCCAGATGGAGAGAGACCAGTAGTTGCATCTTCAGTGGCCTCGTGCAGGCTTTGACAACCTCAGGTGCTGCTCATCCCAGGAGGATGCAGAGCATTGTGTTTATGAACAAACACTATTGTACTAATTGACACAGTTGTCCCGAGTGTTTGCGCTTAAGGACTCCGTCCTGCAAGGCGTTTGACTCTGAGCAGTTCCCATGACTGGGCTCTGTATGCGATCGGATCCATTGGTAGTAATAGACATGCGGTGCCTACGATGATGTATGTAGAAATAGGATCCATTGGTAATAATAGACATGCAGTGCCTACGATGATGTATGTAGAAATAGGATCCATTGGTAATAATAGACATGCGGTGCCTACGATTATGTATATAGAAATAGGATCCATTGGTAATAATAGACATGCGGTGCCTACAATTATGTATATAGAAATAGGATCCATTGATAATAATAGACATGCGGTGCCTACGATTATGTATATAGAAATAGGATCCATTGATAATAATAGACATGCGGTGCCTACGATTATGTATGTAGAAATAGGATCCATTGGTAATAATAGACATGCAGTGCCTACAGTTATGTATATAGAAATAGGATCCATTGGTAATAATAGACATGCGGTGCCTACGATTATGTATATAGAAATAGGATCCATTGATAATAATAGACATGCGGTGCCTACAATGATGTATATAGAAATAGGATCCATTGGTAATAATAGACATGCGGTGCCTACAGTTAGGTGTGTAGAAATAGGATCCATTGATAATAATAGACATGCAGTGCCTACAGTTAATGTATGTAGAAATAGGATCCATTGATAATAATAGACATGCAGTG